TGAATACAGATGAGAGCTGTTCCTATTTTATCTAAACCATGGAATATCAGAGTGCCACCATGTGGGTGTGGAGCAATTCCTGCTCTCAGCGAAGCCTGGTGGTTTGGATCCCAGGGATGGATTGGGATGGGAATCCAATCCTGAAACAGGGCAGGAAATTTAGAGCTGGCTCAGCTGCAGTCCCAGGCCACTGCAGAATATTGACAAGCTGAGCATGGCTTTGTGCTCTGGTCGTGTGCACGTAGGAGAGCAGAGAAAATTGTAATAAACATCCCCTGACTTCCTGGAGCTCCTTCCTGTGACGCAAACCAGGGAGGGCAGCTCAGAGCAAGGCTTTGGAGGAGCCCCATTCCCATTTCCTGCCTTTGGGGAACTTTTCTGAGTAGGTTTAGAGGAGCCCCATTCCCATTTCCTGGCTTTAGGGAATTTTTCCAAATAGGTTTGTGCCCTTTTTTAATTTTTATTTTGAAATGATTACACAAGAGCGCAGTCATGACATTGGGATGATCAGTCTTTATGCTTCAATAGACAGGATGGTAAAACTTCACGTATACTTCTGGTTTGGAAAAAAAAAAAAAAAGATTTTTTTTTTTTTGCCCTTTGGAATGTTTATTCTCAGAAGCAAAGAGCTTTTAAAAATTATCCTCTAGAGAGAAGACAATATGTTGCCAGAATATTTAATGTTCTAACATTAGTGAATGCTAACAATACAAAAAAAACTTTATTCTTATTTTCTCTTTTTTTTTTCTCTTCCCTTAATAAGCTCTTCAGCATTTCAAACAATAGTGAATGAGGGCTTTGAGTAGTATAAATTTTTGTTTGTTTTTCCAGGTCTATAAAGGTGAATTTCAGCTTCCTGACTTCCTCAAAGAAGTGCCACAGGTACAGTAATGAATTAATTATCTTTTTATGGTTGTAGCAGCAAAGGATATCAAACAACCTTTATAAAAAACTTCTCCATGAGCTTGATTTTCTGATTGATGGTGAGATTTGCTGATTATCCATGAGGTGGAATCTTGAACTCAGCATCCCAAACCTCTCCTGAATCCTTGTGTAACTCCAGGGTTGAGTGGTGTTTGTCACCCTGAGCTGCTTGAATATTGCTGTGAAATGGAAGGAAAAACTGACCCTCCTTTGTGGACCAAACTGCAAAGTTTATTACTTGTAGAAGAGCTTTATCTTTTTGTTATCTTGGTTTAAAGCAATCTAGTCCAGAGCACAAAGTTATAAATACTGAGAGATTTTAAAAATAAACAGAGATGTTATCAAAGTCAACAAACCCAGCCATGAATAGGGGTGGTGTTGATTTAATAGTCAAGTGTGCTATGGAACTTCAAGTTTTACTGAAAATTCACAATCTGGTGTCCCCCAAATGCTGTTGTCATCAGCTCCCTAAGAGACCTGCAAAAAAAAACAAAAAGAAAAAGCCTTATTGTGAAGCTGTCAAACAGATCTTGTGGATATCACAGCATTGCAAAATACCAGAATGGTTTGGGTTGAAGAGACCTTAAAATTAATTTTTTTCCACCCCCTGCCATTGGAAAGGACACCTTCCACTATCCCAGGTTGCTCCAAGCCCTGTCCTCCCTGGCTTTGGACACTTCCAGGGATGGGGCAGGTTAAAAATATCCTGGAATCTACCACAGACAAAGCATTTTGACTTCTCAGTTTGTTCAAATAAAAATGATTTGATTAAAAAGGAAAACTGATTTCTTTTGTTCCAGCCAAAGAAGACAGTAGAAAGGAAGTCTCGTGGCAAGATAAAATGAACGTGGATCAGTAAAGTGGCATAGCTGTAGTGTGTGTTTCATGTTCTCAGAAAATAACCCTGCTGTGGCCACCAAATCTTTCTGAGCAGCCTTTGTGTGATCTCTAACGTGGGCTTGGCTTTTTCCTGCCTGTTTGCCTGCTTGGATCACTCAGTGCTCCTGCTTTGCTCAGCTCTGGAGAACCATCCCAGCCCTGTTGCTGCCAGCATTGTCCCTGTCACTGAGTGTCTGCTCCACGTGTGCTGCTGAATTCACAGGAGCCTGCTGGGGTCACTGCCACGTGGGATTGCTGGTGGGGTTGCAGGATTAGCCACAAGAAAGCTCCAGGAATAGGGTGTGCCTTGCCAGGAGGGGAAATACTGCTGACAGGATTTATGGAAAATGCAGGGAGATCCTTCAGAATTGAGCACACTGTGTAGAGATGGTGTGCTAGCAAAAAATAGCCTTGATTTTTTGTGCTAGTAAAAAATATCCTTGATTTTGAATAAATCCGGCATGAAATCCTTTAAGTCCTTGTTTGCGTACAGTATCAGTTAAATTGTGCTGTTTGTGGTTTTCAATTATCCTGGGGTACCCAAAAGAACCTGGGCCATTCTGACTGGTAAATTCCTTCTTTGCTCCATAGGATAGGGAGGTTCCTGCTAAATTCCAGGAGGTGAATTTATACAATTAGCTTGGTTTAAATGCAGTATTTACCAAAATCTGAACAGATTTATCCACAGCAAAGACAGGTCTTCTAAAAGACAAAAATAAGCACTGTGGAAGAGTAAAAGAATATTCCTTAAACCATAAAAACCTGATCAAATTGATGCTGATAGTGTTCTCCTTTAGTATTAACATAATGTAACCAAACAGTTCAAAGGTTTGGAGAACAGACATTGGTACTGATATTTTTGTCCTCCAATGTAAAATAGCTAATTTAATTTTAATTTTTTTTTTGACAGACTGAACCTATGGAATAGAAGATAAAATGGACATTTCTTGCACAGAAGGTAATAAAAGAGCATTGCAGTTCTGTGCTCATTTGTTGTTCTTAATTCAAGATGATTTTTGTTTAACTTCTGTAACTCTATGAGTAAGATAAATATGAAGATTATATTTTTTAAAGGAAACTGCTAAAGATGGGCTGGTTTGTGATATTTGATTTAACATCTCATACCAGTATTTTTAAAAAGCTGCATTTCAGTCACTGAATAAACAGTCACAAAATTTTCAGGGAGCTAAATTCCAGACCAGTTAAGGAATGAGTGATACAAGATTTCCTGTGTTAACCCAGGATTTTTCTGCTGTCAGATCTTCTGACCTGACAACAAAAGATGGCAAAATTTAAATCCAGTTTAAAAATAGCCCAAAGCAATGTGCCCTACAAATATCCCCAAAATAGATCCTTACGTGGCCATAAATATAAACACCCTAAATATAGCCAAAAGCACTGCTCTGTGTAGAAATAATGGCTCTAAAATCTTCCCAGAGATGAATTACAGACCTTCACTGTGAAATCAATAGAGAAACCATCACCTCGTCACACAGTCAATTTAAAATAACTAAAGCATCAACCTCATTTTGCCACTTAGCTCTTAAAAATGGACTCCAACCTGCAATATTTCTGTCTGAAGCTGCTCCCCATTTTCTGAGGAGCCAAACTGGGAACTTCCCAGCATAACTTCCCACTGGGTCACAAAGGTTTGGGATGTAAGTGGAAAATCAATAGATATATTTTTTTGCACTGTGCTGCAAGCAGTCTCTCAATGATAAAGGATGGACAAAGCAGCCCCATTCCTTACAGGAATGGGATTTGTCTTGGCAGTGATTTTCCACCTGCTGAGACAACAGTGGCTACTCTTAATTCTGCATTATTTGTAAATCTTAAATGGTCTTCAGGATAAAAAGCTGAATATTACCAAGAAAGCTCCAAAATAACTTTATTTTTTTTTCCTTAGAAGATCAGCTGCTGCCTTTTCCATGGGAATGATCCCTCAGGCCTGTTCCCCTGGGATCAGAGGTGTGCTGCTCATGGCCTGCTCTCTTCAGAATGTTCTCTCCTCTTTCTTTCATCCTGTTTTTATTTCAAATTTTGCTGTTGTGAGCGCATGTAAACCTGTTAAAAAACAAAACAAAAATCACTGATGTTCATTTAGAACTGCATTACATTCGCACAACTATTTTTTTAAGGTTTTTAAAAATGCAAAAGCAATGCCTGTCTCTGAAATTGCTCCTCTGTTTTAATTACAGGGCTCCATCTTCAAAGATTTTTTTTTTTTTTTTTTGCTTCTTGTAGCAGTTTGGTTTTAAATGTACAAAGCTTTCAAGAGTGGTCTGTGCTTGTCCTGAAAGATTCTTGGTGGAAAAGTTGTTTGTTTTATTCATATGTGAAAAATGTTAAATATCTTTTATTTAAAAAAAAAGTTGATAAATTACATGTACAATTACAATTCAATGATCTTTTGTATTTTATTTTTCAAAATAAATGCTTTAAATGTGATTTTTGTTTATTTTTTTCTTAGTTGATGGTCTTGCTTCCAACTTAAGATTTAAATAATTCAAGATATTGATGTGTTAGTTATAATTCAATATATTGATGTGGGGGAAGATATGATCTCATGTCCTGGGTTTGGCTCTTATTTTAAGGTTTGCAGTTAAATGCTTTTTGTTTGCTTTTAATAGCTGAGTGATGAAGAAATAGTAAATTGGAGTGTCCCACTGAGAGGTATAACATGAGATTTGTTTACTGCAGGTAGTAGTCTTGAATTTGTTCCTTAAAATTTTTTCAGAGACACTCTGCTGGGGGGAAACCGCTGCTGTGAGTTGTCTACTAAAGTTTCGATCTTTAGGATACAATGTGGAACATTATTATTTCCACAAGGGATTTTTGGGACGGTTGTTGTGGCTCAATTTCTTCTCCCCTCGGTGGTTCAAGGCGATGAAGGCGTTTTCAACCTTCCTCGCTGGTTTTGAAGAGTTCGTGCCAAAATATTTATATTTCCTCGGGCGGTGGACGTGCCGGAGTTCTGCCTGCGCTCCGTGGCTCCGTGAGGGCGATGCCGGAGCCGCGGTGCCGTGGGGCAGGCGGGTCTGCCGGCTGAGGGCAGCTCCGGGCCGCTTATTAACCCTCGTTAGCGCCGGGGGTTTCCCTCAGAGCCGGCTGAGGGCAGCCCCCGGTGCCGCCGGTGCCGGGGCTGCTCATTAACCCTCTTTAGCGCCGGGTGTTTCCCTCAGAGCCGGCTGAGGGCAGCCCCCGGTGCCGGGCCGCTCATTAACCGGGCTCTTTAGCGCCGGGCGTTTCCCTCGGAGCCGGCTGAGGGCAGCCCCCGGTGCCGGGCCCGCTCATTAACTCTCTTTAGCGCCGGGGGTTTCCCTCAGAGCCGGCTGAGGGCAGCCCCCGGTGCCGCCGGTGCCGGGCCCGCTCATTAACCGGGCTCTGTAGCGCCGGGCGTTTCCCTCAGAGCCGGCTGAGGGCAGCCCCCGGTGCCGCCGGTGCCGGGCCCGCTCATTAACCCTCGTTAGCGCCGGGCGTTTCCCTCGGAGCCCGCTGAGGGCAGCCCCCGGTGCCGCCCGGGCGGCTCCTCCCGCCGGGACCCGGATGGGCCCGTGCGTGAGGCGGGGCCCGAGCGGAGCCGCGGCCGCGGGCGGGCACCAGGTGAGCGCGGGCGGGGACAGCCGGCCCCGCTCCCCTCATCCCTCCATCATCCCTTCCTCCATCCCTTCCTCCATCCCCGGCGGGGCTTTCCCCGCGGCCGGGGCTCCGCTTCCGACCCGCGGCAGGTGAGGGAGCGGCGGGGAGGCCGCGGGGCTGGAGGGGTGAGGGGAGCCACTCGCGAGCGGTGTCACCCTGGCCAGCTGAGAGCTAAATTAATTTTTAATGAGTTACTAATGAATTATTGGTTATTTGCCGGACTCGGTGCCCCGTGCAGCCGCTGTGTGTGATGCCTGCGCTGCTCGGAGCTGGCTCCGAGCGCTGGAAGCTGCGGGATTCCGTGTGAGGGGCAGTGCCGGGCACGCTGAGAGCAGCCCCAGTGTCCCTTCGCCATGGGCACCCCCAGCCGGGTGTCCCTGCTGTCCCCCAGGGTCACTGAGATGGAGAGCCCCGTTCTGCCCGCCCGTACAGCTGGCCTTGCTCTCAGCTGCAGAGTTACACAGCTTTCATCATGCTCTGTGGTGGTGGTTGTGACTAGAGATGCTGGGATTTTACAGTCCAGGGTTCTCCAGGCCAATATATAACACGACTTACTGCCCTTCTTCCTGGATGGTTCTTTGCTGTTCTAACACAGATTCACTGGAATTTACTGGATGTTGTCTTTTCCCTCCGTGTTCACACAAACCTTTCAATCATCTGTGTCTCGTGAAGTTGATGATGCAGACACTGCTAAATCAGGTCTCATTCTACCCCAGTTTCTCTTTAAAAAGGGGGAGCCTTCTGTTCAAACGTCTTTACAGTCTTCTAACAGTCCAGTTGGTATCTTGCCAAAAAAAGCACATCCCAAAGAGTTACCTTTGACCAGGAGTTTCTCTGGGACTCCTGTGATGGGTTCATACATCAGAACCTTGATTAAAAAGCCTTTGACTGTAGAGCCATTATGCCATTTTTTGTTGCTATGTAACTCTTTTGGGGTTTTTAACTTTGGGGTTTATAACTTTGTCAATACAGGTGCAACTTCAGAAGGTATTTAAGAAAAAGTTGTTGAAACCAATATGGTGAAGTTGAGAGAACAGCAGAACCTTGGAAAGCTTTTATGAATCTTAGCATCAAGCCCAATTCAAGTGTTGCTGTCATTCTCTGGGGAATGACGCCAAACTGGCAGGGCCAGCTCATTTACTGAGGTTTCCTGCTGTGTGTGGGACAGTGTCTGAGCTGTCCCCAACAAAGCTCCAGGAAGCAATCCCTGCTTTTAGATGACAGGTGGAAGAACTGGAAGGAGGCATTTCTGGTAGAGTTGGATGCTGCTGATGTGATACTTGACTTAATTATAATTTTGTTTATTGGTGGTGTTTTCCCATTAACTATTGATCTAGACCTAGATGTATTTAAAAGTGAAATGGAGGCATTTGCTTAGTTTAAATAAATAAATTCTGTATATTTAACGAGTGATTTAACAAGGGAACACTTCTGCACATAGTTAAAAATAATTATTGCACGTGCTTTAAGTGAAAAGGAGAGGATCAGCCCAGGTTTGGATGGGGCTTGGAGCAACCTGGTCTGTGGACATGGCAGGGGGTGGAATTGGATGATCCTTCAGGTCCAGTTCAATCCAGACTACTCTGGGATTCAGATGGATGTGTTTTCTTCATGAAATGCAGAGATTAACTTATGCTTTTCTTTCAGGAGGACTCTGCTCCTGTCAGCACAGCTCTGTTTCACTGCTCCCTGGGTGAACAGGTGAAGCCAGCCTAGAGAGGGACTTCACTCATCTTTTAATGAACGTCACAAAACAGGTTCAACTTGTCAGTCATTGATCTTTTTATTGCCACTAAGCTTGTTCTCAAATTCCTGGTCTCAGGATGGTCTAACCCTCCTTATTGAGGGGTTGTTCCAATGGCAGAGAAGGTTGGTAATCCTGAGCAGAACATAATTAATGCTGTCTCATGGCTTTTTTTCTTAAACCCTGGTGTCATATTGAAGGAGATTATGAAAGAGGGAGAAAAATCTCTTTTTCTCAGCCTGTAGCTCTGTTAGGAAAGAGGCCCTTTTTGGTGCAGTGCCAAATGGATGAAGTTACCCCAAAAACCCATTCTGTGGTCAATAATGCTGATTTAGTTAATGGAGTGAATGTTTATTTACACTACACACCATTTAAGTGAAATCCATGGGACATCCTTGAAAAAATGCAGACAACACATTTTTGGTCAATCTTGTGTTCTTTTTGAGCACTTTAAAGAAACCTAGAAATAGCAGCCAAAGCACTGGTGTCAAGTGGCAGCTTTATAAATAACATATTCACAGGAAATACACCTCACCCTCAATTTTTGACTGTGCATCTTATAAATTCTGTTCTGCAACCTCTATCTGGCTGATAATTTGTTTACCTCCTTAAAGGAATCCCCAGCAAAATGATCTTTCATTTATATTGTGTCTATTCTTTATTTGTGAGGCATAGGTGAGTTGTTTGGATAACTAATGATGATTGTTTTAGGACAAATATTTAAATTGTTAATAGGGTGTGACCCTTCAGAAGCACTTCCATCCTTATTTATCTGCTTGTGCATTGGACTGGGGTGGAAAAATGATTATGAACTGTAGAGAAATTAAATCCCTCTCTGAGCTGAGCCAACCCTCTTAATGAGCTGCAGCTTAAACAAAAATGTTTAGAACTTCACAGTAGCTTCTTATCTATGTTTATTAGGGTGTTAAACAGGATCTAGATTTCATCTCCAAATTTTGGGGAAAGAAGGCTGTGGACACTCCCACAGAATTGGAGATTTTGGTCTGATCAGGTCTCTGTAAAGTACCTGTTTTGTTCAGGAGCATCCCAGCTCTGTCTGGGTTCACTCTGAACTCAATATTTCTTTTAAGAGCTGAGATCTAATGGTGTGCACAATGTCTGTTAGCAGAATTATTATTAAGGCAGATTTTTAAAATTTTATATCATTTTTTTCTTGCTGATTTTGAGGGGAAGCATCCTTTAGTTAATAAATAAATATGCCAGATGTGCTTTTGCAAATAATCCTCCTCCTTCTATATTTTATAGTGATTTGAAAGAAGGTTTGGAGGTGGGTAAAGCCTCTGGTGGTGGAAAGTCTTTGTTAGGGAGTTGCGATGCTGCTGGAGCCACCCTGGGAACAGGGATTTTACATAATGCAGTGTAAGGAGAGCAGCGGGCTTCTCTTCGCTAGTCGGCTCTTTCAATTATTATTTTCATCATGCAGTTTCTCAGAGCATCCCATTCTCCCGTTGAGGATGGACTGAGAAGCCTTGGAGGTGTTAAATCCAATTGATAATTAATTAGCAGCGTGCTGAGGAGAGTTAAATTTTCGTGTCTCACGTGCGTGGTGTGATGTGATGCAGCGGGCGGGGAAACGCCTGCTTTCCCTGACGGCTGAGAAATCCCGCTTTTCCCATTTCCCAGGGAATTCCAGAGCCCTCCCCGCGCCCATCGCGAGCGGCTGAAGGTGACAGACGGGGCCGGGTGTCGCCAATGTGGCAGGGACGCGTCCCTGCATCCCGCCCCTGGCAGCGCCGTGTTCCTGCATCCCGCCCCTGGCGAGGGACAGGCTGCGACAGCGGCCACCCAAATTCTCCCAGCAAATGACATTTTCCTGCAAAGCCGCGCCGGAGCCAATCGCTCCCTGCACCGTGCAGCCAATGGATGCCGGGCTCTTCCAGCCCCTGCCAGCGGCTCCGCGGCTGGAGGGCCTTGGAGCAGCTGTGCCAGCGGCGTTCCTGCCCGCAGCCCTCCCCGGGGGTGCCCGGCATCCCTGCTCCTCCTCCTCCTCCTCCTCCTCCTCCCGGGAATAACTCTGCCGCTGACAGCGCTCGGGGTCACGCGGCCGCCGCGGTGGTTGGGGTGATTTGGGTGATTAATTTGGGTCTCCCTTCAGCACTGCCACGGCCTCCTACCCAGCAGAGCTGCTCCCCAGAGCCAGAGGGATGGTGGTAGTCACGGGGCAGAACAAAGTGAGTGCCACCCCGGATGATGCCATGTCGAGCTCGGATGCAGAGGATGATTTCCAAGAGCCGGCCACTCCCACCGCCACCCAGGCAGCACAAGCGCTGCCTCTGCTGCCTCAGCAGGTAAGAGCTCACCTGGGGCGGGGGTGATGGCGGCAGCACAGACTGCTCAGGTGCTGAAGAATTCAGGATTTCCTTGTGGGTACTCAGCTCGCTTAACACGTTGGAATAAAACTCAGTCTCTTAAATGCATTTGAGTAGCTCGGCAGCTTCACTTACAAGGTCCATCCAGGTTTGGACTTGAGACGTGTAATTAAGTGTTTATTCTGGTACTTAAGGTAGCCTGGATGTGATAGTAAGATTTTAGGCCTCATGTAAACAAATGCAGGTTTTTTTCAGTGTATAATAGAATCTGGTTGTGTAAAGGGAGCAGCAGAGAGCAAATCCCAAGGCTGACCTAAGATTTCTTCCCTTATTTTTTCTCTGTGTGTAAGGCTGGAGAAAAGGTTTTGTTTTGTTCTTTCCTTTCCCCAAAAGAGCCAAGAGGAGGCATTAATATCTCAAATATCTGCCATTCCAGCTGAGTGATTTCTGCTGTTTCAGATTCCCAGCTACAAGTAAACCACTCCCTGGTTCCTCCCAGCAGCCAAAGCATCCAAAGTTTTGCCCCTCAGAGCTCCCTGACCTGTGGCAGTGGGTCAGTAACCACACATTTGTCCCAGTGGCAAACTGCAGTGCGTTTTGGGAGCTGTGCCCGTTGTCACCTGCGGAGGACTGGCAGCTCCTTTCTGATGTCCTGGTTGCTTTTGCAGTTCCCAGAAGTTGTCCCACTGAACGTGGGGGGGATGTTTTTCACCACCAGACTGTCCACGCTGCGCAGGTACGAGGACACCATGCTGGCAGCCATGTTCAGTGGCAGGCACTACATCCCCACGGACGCCGAGGGCAGGTACTTCATTGACCGGGATGGCACCTACTTCGGGTACGTACAGATCCTCAGGGCAAGCTTGGGAAGCTCTTACTGAAAACTTACTTTTAAACTTGTTTTTAACAGGTTTTTTTTTCCCCTTAAAGCGCAGCATTTAACATTGCATGCCTTCAAAGCATCACAGGAGTAACTGCAACTAAAAATTCTTTGTTGGTTGTGCAATGGGAAAGGAAAAACAAGAAATGCTTTGAATTTGTGCATTGTCTCCCCTAGAGTATCTCCTTGAATTTGTGTGTTGTCTCCCCTAGAGTATCTCCTTTCAAGGTATCAAGTTGTTTTGATGGTTTAAAGAAGCGTTTGGTAATAGGAAACTCCTCTGCACAGCACTGGGTTTTATTTGATATTCAGTATCTGTAAGGAAGAGGGAATGGAAGGGATGAATCTAGGATTCTTGCACAGTTGAAAATATGACATTTTCAATCTTTAAACAGTATATAACTGCTAAAATAAAGCATGAACCTTTAAAGAATTTATTTTTCTAAATTATTTTTGTTGGTAGTACTGTATTCCTTCACCTCCAGGATTCCTTCCTAATTGTTCAGCTTTTATTTTATTTTTATTTACACTAACCATGACCACTAATGCTATGTTGGAATTGGGGTGAGATTGCTAAAAAAAGTGATCAGTATTCATGGGTTCAGGTCTTTGCCCAAAGAACACATTGCAATTTATCCCAAATTTCTTCTTGTCCCTTTATAGACATTTCCTTATTGCCTTTAACAGAGGAGCATTGAATTATTTTCAAAGCGCTTTTGCGTTGTACCATAATCTGGGACAGATATAGATCAAGCCACTGTGTTTATTCTGAAATAATTGTCTTTACATGAGGCAATTGAAAAATCAATTAATTTGTGATATTATCAACATCAGTTGAAAATACAGCTGGAACAGAGGGCCAGGTTAGCACGTGCTGTATTTGTTGTCATTCTAAGATTGCAGTAATGCTTCTTTAATTTGATAAGGTTTTCTTGGTTAACACTTAAAAAGTGATTTTTTTGTTTATTTGATAAGGGTTTTGTTGGTTAATACTTATAAAGTGATTTCTTTCCCTGTCAAAAGATCCTGTTGCTGAACAGTGTTTCATAACTATGAGGAAATGTTCTCTCACTTTTTAAAAAAATCTGATTATTATTCTGTAACTGGCCCTGATCTGTGATGAGAAACCTCCTTTGCAGATGTCCCATCCATTCAGCTGGATCTGTGTGGAATAAAATGTCCATGAAAATGATTATCTGGGAAAATGCAAAAGTTTATTTTGTCCCAGACCTAAATTTGAAATGCAGTGACCACAATTTGTTTCCCATGAAACACTCTGGTTTCTTTGTTGTTATAAATGGTTTCCTCCACATTGAATGTTTGGTTTAAAATCCACTGATATTTTTTCAAATGAGTTTTGACATCAGCTGAGGCAAAATGTGAAGTAATGGCTTGGAAACCTGAACGTGGCAAATGGTTTTACAAACAAATATTGAGAATATGGCCCATTTGTTTCAGTTACTGTCTCAATAGAGCAAACGATGAATATCCAGCATTTCCTGTCCTTTCCCACCTGCAGCACTTTTGGCAGAAATGTGTTCGTTAATGATATTTTTGCCATTTTTTATTTTTTAGAGACATACTAAACTTCCTACGATCTGGTGACCTGCCCCCCCGAGAGCGAGTGAGGTCAGTGTACAAGGAAGCTCAGTATTATTCCATAGGACCCTTGCTAGACAATCTAGAGGATATCCAGCCTCTTAAAGGAGAAAAAGTTAGACAAGCTTTCCTGGGCCTAATGCCATATTACAAAGGTAAATAAACAAAGTAGCACTGACTGTTTCTTCTAGTGGGATTCCAGTGTTAAACCTTTCAGTCTGCTCTCAGCTCCCAGACTGATCCCATTGCAGCTGGGAAGTTTATTCTGTATTTTTTGTGCTGTTTGGATCTTTGAGGTCTCCACATCCTGCTGCATCCCAGGGTGGGGATTTCTGTGCTTAAAAGGGAGCAAGATTAGGCTGTAATGTTATTAAATGAGAGAGTTTGTCTGCATTTCTTCTGTCAGGATTGCAAGTGAATAAACTTGGCCTTGTAGTGAGGCCAGATAACTTGGGCATATCATAAGGCCACCAAGCTTACCAGATAACCAAGATTTATTTGATTAGTCTGTATTTTATATAATAATATTATACAGATAATGGATAATATCATTATATAATATATGTATATATCTTTTTATATAATAAGGCTACCAAGCTCACCAGATAAATGAGATCTATTTGGTTATTCTAAATTTTATATAATTATATAATATAATATTATATAAAAAATATATAATTATATAATATATTAATTTATCATTTTCTATACATATTTATTAAATATGTAATAAAATATTTAATATATGTAATATATGTAATATTTAATGTATATATTTTATATAATAAGGCCACCAAGCTCACCAGATAACCAACACCGATTTGATTATTCTGTATTTTATGTAATTATATAGTATGTGTCATATAATATATATCATTTATATAATTATATATTAATTTATATTTTTTATGCAATAAGGCCACCAAGCTCACTAGATAACCGAGATTGATTTGACTATGCTATATTTTATTATATTTCTTATATAATAGATTATATTATATATCATTTTAGTATATATAATTGATATGTAATTATAGACTATAAATACATAATACTTAAATTATATAATTATAGAATATGTTAAAATATGTATTTTTTATATAATAAGGCCACCCAGCTCACCAGATTACCGAGATTGATTTGCTACATGCTGCTGATACGCTGAGAACAACTGCAGTGAAACATTTGACATGAAATAATTGCTTTTGATTCTTTTCCTCGGCCATCCGTTGGGACCCTCAAGTGTTTCTCTTTTCCAGACCACTTGGAGCGGATCGTCGAGATAGCCAAGCTGCGAGCCATGCAGAGGAAGGCCAGGTTTGCCAAGCTGAAGGTGTGCGTGTTCAAGGAGGAGATGCCCATCACTCCCTACGAGTGCCCCCACTTCAACTCGCTGCGCTTCGAGCGCAGCGAGAGCGAGACCAAGCTCTTCGAGCACCACTGCGAGGTGGACGTGTCCTTCGGGCCCTGGGAGGCCGTGGCCGACGTCTATGACCTCCTGCACTGCATCGTCACCGACCTGTCCGCCCGCGGCATCACCGTGGACCACCAGTGCATCGGCGTGTGCGACAAGCACCTCATCAACCACTACTACTGCAAGCGCCCCATCTATGAGTTCAAGATCACCTGGTGGTGAGGGTGGGCTGAGAAAAGCATCAAAGGACTCCCAGAGGACAAATGTTCTTTCAAGGTCGCCTGGTGGTGAGTTGTGGCTGAGCTAAGGGATGAAGGGACTTCTAGAGGACGTGTGTTCTTTCAAGGTCGACTTGTGGTGGCACATCGAGAAGTGAGAGGACTTCTAGAGGACAAATGTTCTTTCAGTGTCACCTGGTGGTGAGCTGTGGCTGAGCAAAGTGAAGAAATGACTCCCAGAGGACAAATGTTCTTTCAAGATAACCTGGTGGTGAGTTATGGCTGAGCTACAGGATTAAAGGACTTCTAGAGGACAAATGTTCTCTCAGTGTCACATGGTGGTGAATTCTGGCTGAGCAAAGTGATGAAAGGACTTCTAGAGGACAAATGTTCTTTCAAGATCGCCTTGTGGTGGCACATCGAGGGGTGAGATGACTTCTAGAGAGGACAAATGTTCTTTCAAGATCTCTCAAGAACTCACCTGGTGATGAGTTGTGGCTCAGCAAAGTGATGAAAGGACTTCCAGAGGACAAATGTTCTTTCAAGATAACCTGGTGGTGAGTTGTGGCTGAGCTAAGGGATGAAAGGACTTTTAGAGGACAAATGTTCTTTCAAGATCTCACCTGGTGGTGAGTGTGGTGGCACTTAAAGGACACGTGTTCTTGGCAGTTGCCTTGCTGCTCACATTCCTTGGGATCAGCCTGCTGGCAGGGGTTGGGAAAACCTCTGGAAACTTGAAAAAGCAGCCTGAAATCAGACTGTTGGCTCAGGTACCTTAACGAGGCACAAAACAAAATCACCTCATGCAAAGGATGGAGGGGAGTGGCTGAACATCTGCTAAAAGGTGCCACCAACCATGTGGCTTCAGGATGGAATTGCAGATTTTTCCTGCATTTTTGGGAATCTGGGGTGCTACTAAAGCTGACATTTCAGTTTTACCCTCTTAGAAATGTTTTAGTTCCTCTTTCAGCTTTATAAAGTTTGAGTCACACCCAGCACAAAGATTCTGGAAATGTCATTTTGATGTACTAGGTACTTAAAAAAAAAAAAAAAGAGTATTCCTTATATATTATTAATTGTTGTCAGGGTTAAGCTGTATTTCTTTTTTAATTAAGAATCAACGTTGTGAATTATAATGTTGTACTTCAATTATTTCTGTTGTTATCAAAAGGAATAGATCTGGAATATATTCCTTAATGCTTTTAGGAATAATAACTGTTCATGGAAGACTTGTGCCTGTTTTTAGCCTTAGAAATTTTAAATGTTTACAATATCTACAAAAGAAAAAAGCTCTTTAGAATCAGGTCATTTACAAAGGCTTTTGGTAAATAAGAAAACCCTGTCTGTATGTTCCTATTAACAGGAGTAAGAGAATATTTAATGTATATTATTTTATTACTGACTCTTTTTACATTCTGTGATATTAAACTTTATTTTAGACTTTAAGTCAGATGATATTAGACAAGTTTTTTTTTTTTGCTAGTGCATATTTTTCCGTGCTCCCTTAGCTTTTTTTGCCACTTTATCATCTACAAAGCCATTTTTCCATTCTCACACTCCCGAATCCCTGTGTTTGTGAGCAGTAAATGGTCTCCTGTCAATTTGAATATTGGAGGAATGATGGGGCAGTTGAGGGATATTTATTTAAAATTAGAATTGTTAACTATTTTTTACATTGCTGTGTGTGAACAAAAAACATGACAATACCAATGTTTTTAACATTCCCTTTATATCCATCGCGGAGTGGTTTTTAACAGGGATCAAAGGGAGCTGTCATATGGAGTGAGTTGGCCAATTCCACAGCACATTAAATGTTTCTGCATCTGTTTTATGCTTGTGAAATAGGAAGGGGAAAAAAGAAAATAATAATAGAAAAAAATAAAAACAACAAAACGTTTTGAAGCACTCAAAAATGACATGAAAAGGTGTTTATGTACAGCAGCCACTTAGTGGCTGCTGAGCTTAAGAATTTAAAAAAATATCTAAAAATAACTTTTGGACTTGGTGTAGACTTTTAACTTGAATACCCAATATTCTGCACAGGAATCTGAAATATTCCTTGCTGACTTCCATCCTCCTCAGAGGAAAGTGAAGGTGCTGCCAGCTTTGGTCTGGGAAGCCTTTGTGCCATACAGATCCTCTGTGGTCCTTGTGGGGCATGGGCTGGATTTTTAATTTTTATTTTAACCTATAATGATGGATCAGTTTGGTTTTTTTTTTTTCCCTAAAAAAGCTAATTATTTAATTATAATTAAAGATTTTGTAGCTTCATTTGGCATTTGCAAGCTTTGCAAGCCCTCATTGCCAGGTTTATCCTCACTGCTGATTGTTTGGAGATGACAGGGGACATGATGAGAGGGATGATGGAAGTGGCAGCAGGGAAAAAATTCCTGTCACAGCTGCTTGCTCCCATTGCAGAGCTGTTCTTGGTGTGTGGTTTCAGCTCTTGTGCTGTGTGAGGCACAGAACATCCACCCCGTTTGTGTGAGCCCTCCGCTGCTCTCCCATTTGTGTGTAAATCCATCAAGTCGTGGTTCTGGGAGATCAAAGGGTGAGAAAAGCCAGTGGCTGTGGATTGCAGCAGGGACAGGTGAGTCTTGCAGGGTCACACTGCTTGAATCTGATTTATAGCACCTCGATGGCACAGCTGGATCTTCCTTTTCTGCATGGCAAAGCAGGGTGGTCACTTGGGGCACAACTGCCTGGCAGGTAAGGGCACATTTCAGAGCAGACACTGCAAAAAAATGATCCCTTAACTCAAGAAATTCTAAACTTTGGGATACTCTTTCACTTCTTTTACTTCTTTCAATTCTTTCACTTCTACTTCTTTCAGTTCTTTCACTTCTAATGACTGCTTTATCCTGGACAATTTGTAGACCCCACTGGCTTTAAGTTGTGGTTGGCATTACTGAGCCCTGAAGATGTTTTTAGGTTTTCATACATGGCACAGAGGACCCAAGATAGTTGTAAATTTTGGGCTATGACAAAAAAAAAACAAACCTCCAGTCTTTCATTATCTTTGCAAATAAGCTGATTTCAGAGGATAATTCTGTTCTGTTATTATCTCCTGTATATAATTCTCTAACTGGAAATCACTTTCCAGAACAACAGTTCATAGTAATTTTACTTACACAAGCTTAGTATAAGTTTACCTCCACTTTCACTGTGACTTTTATAAATGTTTTTTTTTTGCTGAATTATAAATTGTATGTGTCTATGCATTGTAACCCGTAATGCCTTTGAAAATCCAGCCTGGATGCTAATGATCAGGGTTTGGAATTATCTCCAAATGTGTTTTGTTAATAATTATGTTGGTGTGTGATGTTCAATACTGTGAGTACTCAGTGTATTGTTTCTTAATACTTTTGACTTTTCAGTTCAGGTAATATATAGTCTGTATGGTTTTTATTTAAAACACATAGAAGAAAATGCAGATATAAAGGCTCTGTTGTGCAATAAAAGATTATGATACTGAAAACTTGGAATTCTGGCTCATCTGGTCTGCAGCCACTGCAGTGTTTTTCCTCACCTTCCCTGGGATTTGAGTGTGCTTTGCCTGAGTGCAAATGAAAATTAAGCCAGGAATCTCTGCCCGGGCAATGATTTAATGGCATTTAGGTGTTTATCCCCAGGAACAGAGGCACTGGTGCAGAGTGTGCTCATGGCCAGATCATTGCAAGGACTGATCCCATCCTTGATACCCACCCACCCCTTCCTGTGACAGCACAGCAGCCGCCCCTGCTTCTGCAGTGCTCAAAATGAACCTTTCTGCCTCTGTTCAGAGGAATTTTCCCTTTGTTCTGAAGTCATTTCCTTGCTGTCCATCTGTCCTGCTGAAGCTCTCACAGTGGGATGTCCGTGCTGAGAAAAAAGAAAAAAAGAGGGGGGGAAAAAAATATATGAAAACCAGCACACAACACTGTGTAACTGCTGGAAATAGCAGCGGGTATTTTTATATTTCCCCAGAACAGCTCTGGGGTGCTCGTGTGGGGCCAGGGCCGGGCCGCGGAGCCCTGAGGAGAAGGGAAGGGAGGCAGCGGGGCGGGAATTGGCCACGCTGGGAGGGACGGATCCCAAACAGCTGAGGAGAGCGGCTGTGGGACAGCCCTGCCCTGAGCCGGCCCCGTTTCCTTCCGGGCTCGGGCCCGCCCCGGAGGTGCCGCCCGCCCTTCCGCCGGAGCCGGGCAGGCACGGAGGGACGGAGGGAGGGCCCGAGCAGCGCCGGGGCCGTGAGGGGCGGCGGAGCGGAGCCCGGCCCCGCCGCGCGGGGCAGCCGGTGAGAGCCGCGGGGGGAGTCAGCCTGGGTCGGGGGCGGCGGGGGCGGCCGTGACCCCACGGGTATCGCCGGTGTCCCCCCGGTATCGCCGGTGTCCCCCCGGTATCGCCGGTGTCCCCCCGGTATCGCCGGTGTCCCCCCGGTATCGCCGGTGTCCCCCCGGTATCGCCCGTCCGGAGCGTCGGGGCCCGGTGTCCGCCCCGCCCGGGGGCTGCGCGCCGCCCCCGCTGCCGCCTCAGGCCTGGGCAAGGGGTCCCTGGGATAAACCCCAGCATGAACACCGGGATAAACAAACACCGGGAGCTCGGCAAACCGCCTTCCTCCTCCGTGTGCGCCTCCTCAACCTGATTTTTTAATTCGATGTGCATGTTTATGTTCGTTCCATGGGTCTGTGCAGGTGGCACTGATCAGCATTGCCACCATGTCCCCCCAGCCTCTTTTCCTCATGAGCTCCTTGTGGGTCAAGGAGTTTTTGGCTTTTTTTTTGTAAGTATTGCCGCTGCCCGGCTGAGGATTAAAGTCCTTTAAACTCAAGCTGGGGGGAAGTTTGGAGAATTTTTTTAAATGCTGAGCAGTGCGTTTTGAGTGCTGTTGTGGGTGTTTGCCGTCCTCCATGTGCAGCTCCTAAAGCTAATTTTTATTATCCGTGTATTTAATTAATTCCATGGGTCTGTGCCTGTAGTTAACACGGTGCAGATGTCACTGATAGCTTTACCAATAGTCCCCCACCCCAGCCTGTTTCCTTGATGAGTTCCTCGCGGATCAATGAGTTTTTGGCTTTTTTCCTGTAAGTATTGTCCCTGCCTGGCTTCTCCCTGCACAGCTGAGGATCAAAGTCCTTTAAAGTGAAGCCAGGTGAAGTCTGGAGGACACTTAAGATGCTGAGCAGTGCGTTTTGGATGCTCTTGTGGGTGTTTGTCACTGCTTGTGGAGTTCAGGTTGTTCCCTTGAAGCAGGGAGTGGCTCAGAGGGGGTGTGAGATGCTGAGAGATGAATGATGTGCTTGAATTACCAAATAAATTCTCTCGCGTGGCTCAGTGCTGTCTGAAATCCTGCTGCTCTGTGGCAGGGGCTCGGATGGGCTGCTGGGTTGACTGAGAAGGTTTTACAGGCAAAATTAAATTGTTTTTTGTTTGGCTGAGTGGGGCCCTGTACTGGGAATTAGCAGCACTGAATGTTTTGGGGGGAAAGGTTGCCATTGTGGAGGCTGTGATTTAAATCCATGATTGACTTGCTACACTTCTGTTGTTTGGGCTCATTTGAAACTACTTTTGATTCCTCACACCAGGACTTTGGGAACTGCACTGAGCTGCCTTTGGTTTTCCAGTTACCCAACACTTTCTTGAGACCAGTGAGCAAACCAGGCCAGTGGAGAAGGCAAGGTTGTTTTCCAGGAACAGTGCTTTACTCAGGAATTGGATGTGCTGGCCTTCTGGACGGGGTTACACAAGTGATTTTTGCAGAAGGGAGGATTAGGAAGAGAACTGTAGCTCAGTGGAATGTTTTGTTGACCAAGAAAAAGCCCAGAACAACACACAGTAGAAAGGGAGAATAGGATATAAAGCCAGTTATACCAATTCCTAAGACTGATTTACACAACCAACAGATTATAAGATTGAAGATAGTCCATGATTCTGGTATTTAATTTTGTTCTGTGGTGTTATTTAAGCTAGAACAGCCTTTCTCAGCTCCTTCTTTCCTTGCTGTGTAATCCCCAATTATACTTGGGGCTTTTTTTCCCCTGTTAATTAACTGCTTGTGATCTAAAACCAGACATAGAAGTCTTGTTGGTGAAGTCCTGCTAAAATGCCACTTGTAACAAGTCAGGTACAAAGGGTATAAAATGTTTTGAAGTTTTTCTCTGAGGTTTTAGGCAACTTAATTTCCATCTGTGCCCAGTTGAGTGTGGTTGGCAGGAAATAGCGTGTAGGAGCCTGTTGCTGAGGGGATTTTAGCAGTTTAAGCTAATCTTTTTACTGTGACCTGAGCTCCCAGTGGAGCAGCACAAAGAGTTTTTAGATGTTTCCTGTGATTTCGTTGAAAGCGCAGTTGTGGGTCACATGGTGAGATGGTGAGACACAGCCTGGTCATGGGGACAAACCAAACCTGTACCCCCAGGCCTGGGCTAACATTTGAAGGGAAAACACAACTCCAAGCTGAGCGATTTGAGAGCTGCAGCCTTGTGGCCATCAGGATTTTGGAGGTTGGAAGCAGTGGCTGCAGTTACCTCTCCAAATGCCAGGACCAGCTCTGTGGTTTTGTTTGTAGTGGTGCTCATCAGACTGTTTCTTTTCTTGAGACTATTTTTTAGCAGCCTGATCTGTTTATCCTACACCTGCTGTAGCTGAAGCTCTGTAATTGCAGGTAAAATTCATATTAAAAGTGTGAGCACTGCAGAGATAACACCGTGTTTCTTGCCTAATTCCTGGCTTGACTAATTGCTTTTGTATTTGCTGTTCTCCAGTTTGAGCTCATCCTGCCCCACCCTTTCCTTGGGAGGAAATTAGCTCATGGTTAATTACCCTGCTGCTAATTACATGCCTGAGTGTTTGGGGTTCCACCTGAATCACGACTCTTTCAACACGTAGGTTGCTGCTTTTTGGAATTTTGGGGCATTTGCATCAGTGGTTCTTTGCAATAAATACATTTTAAGGGCACTTTTCCATTGGCAAAATACACCTTGACTTCATCCTTGCACCCCTCAGTTTTAATGCACTTTCTAACCTACCTTCTAAATCTATTTTTAGTGATTAAAGTTGTCTTGTTCTGAATTTTGATGGAGTTTTCAGGCACCAGTAAAATGTGAACTAACAGCAGTTCCTGTAAGAATTGTGTGTTTGGAGGCCTCCCTGTTTTTTTTTTTTCTGCTCTAAAATTCCATTTCTGGGAACGGCCATTAATGACCAGAGAGTTGCAGTGAGCTCATTGTGAACACTCTTTGGGGCACTTTGATATTTGTGAATTAGAATAATTCAGGTTGTTCATTAAGTGCTGGAGTGACTTTTGAAGAGCTGAATCACGTTTGTTGCAGCCCAGTGAAAAGACTGCTGGGGGTTTTGCTAATGCTTCTGACAAGATTTTGGAGATTTTTTTGAGAAAACTTAATTTTAGGGAGGGAAGAAAAAAAACCAAACCAACAACAACAAAAAGAAACCAAAACATACCCACAACCCAAAGCAAACCTGCCTGTGCCCAGTCTGTGTTTTGCTGGTTTTAAATACATTTAATTAAGTTGTTACCAATGCTAAAACTCATTTATAGAACCTCAATTATAGAATTAAAGCTACTCCTTTAGTTTCCAGCGTTAGTTTGTGGACTAGCTTCTTCACAGCTTGTAATAATTATAAATTGATTGCAATTAGCTCTTACTGAAGGTGTTTATTGATTGATTAAGCACGACCCTTTCTGTTCAGCTTTGACTATGAGCTTTTCCAGCCATCTCTCTAAAGGTGACCTCAGCAATCCGGCACTAATAAATAGTTTATGACCCAGCTGGGATCTCCTCACAGTCTGCACTGCTAATAAAGGTTCAGATCGTTTTCCCTGCTCCATCCTGGCGAGGCAGGGAGGTGGAAAAGAACCAGAAAAACAAGCTGGGGGTGTTGGAGCCTGTGGTAAATCTGTGCTGTTCCTAAAGCATCTTTCACCCAGTGCTTTTCCCCAAGCCAAAGCTGTGTCTGCAGTGCTTGTCCTGTGAGAATTCCTTGTGTTTCTTGCTGAAAATAAGGTGTTACATGATTTTAGTCTTTCATGTGTGTGTCAAATTGTACCCAGTTTGGGTTGGAGGAGCCCTTTTTTCCCTGCCACATAAAAGCTGAGGATGCCTCTGTTCTTTGCTGTGACTGATACCTGGTTTAATACATTTAATAGGAATTTTTCTGGTTGTTTTGTAACGTGGTCTGTGTGAAAATTAGAATTTATTATTTTGCTGTTACTGAGCTACAAAAGGTCCTGGAGGAATGATTGCTGCTCCTTCAGTCCCCTTTGTGGATCACTGGCAAAAATGGCCTTGGGATTTATGGGCTTGGAAGAAAATTGGTGTTTCCTGTGTCTTAACTCTCTCTGTGTTGTCTCAAATGTGGTTCAAAGTGTGTGACAGAGAAAGTGGAGTGGCTCTCAGGCAGAATATTTTGCAGAAAGTTTGGTTTTGCTGGTTTGGGTTCCTGGTGGTGGCAACTGAAACCCTGCAGTGTTTGCTCACA